ACGCCTATGTCTTCCAGAGCTTCAAACATCTGTGCGTTGCTAACGCTGTCAAGGACCTTTCCAGATTTTCATAAATTTTTGATGTTATTGCGTCTTGTGCGCTGGTATGTCATCTCTTGTTTATTGCTGCTTTTAAATATTGGAATCATAACAGAGAGTTTAAAGTAACGACAAATGCCTACTGCAAAAATATGGTTAATCAGATTAGATAATGGTAATACTATTTCTTCACCGACATAGTTAATAATGTATGGTTTTATTCCATCAATCCCACGGGCCTTTCTTGACTTAAGCTCTTTTACTATTTCTAAGATATTTCGCGGACTTGAATTTTTCCACAGAATTAGATGCAATTATAAGTGAGCACTTAAAAAATTCGTCGATATATGAGGGCACTTTCAAAAAAAATCAGAATGATCTGTTGAAGTTTGTCCTCAACAAACAATTAAGCAAGTTAATGATGCTCTGTTTTTGGTTAAGGTAAATTAACTTTTTTCCCACGAGCCGCCACTGTGTGGAACACGGTGGATTTTAGACACTCCGGTGCACCTCTCGTAGACACATCCAATTTTACCGGAAACGCGTTTAATTTTATTCTCTTTAGGAGTCTGCCGCAACAGTATTTGAACAGCGTTTCGGGGTTCGTGCTTTCGGCGCACTTACGCCCTCTCACGTGCCGAATTCGTCCCCTTTGTCACCCCCACGGACCCGCGAAACCGTAAATTTATGTTGGGCAATCTTCATTTCGTATTCATAAAATAATGTCGACGTCGTTATTTACACTCTGACGACGCGCGGCAACACGGCGAGATTTGATCCGCAGGGAGCCGGAGACAAAAGTATAAAATTGTGTTCTGTTTATGGAAGACGATTTGTTTCGCGCGGTGTGCGAATGAATTTCGGGGCTTGGAAGAATTGTCGCCGCTCTCACAGAAAAAGTTTTGATTAGGTTTGGTTTTTCTTTGAGCTTTTACGCGTTCAGTTGCTTAATATACGTATATTTGGCAGACATGTGGACCAATTTCTAAAATTTACTCACATTACTTACTCATAATTAAAGATATTGAAAAGGGACTTTCCGATAAAAATTTTTCAGACAATCAAGTTAAGCTATCGTTATATAATCAGTGAAATAAAATTAATTACTAAAAAGGTGTGTCGGAATCCGTCCAAAGATAACCGGATTAAAAAAAAAACAATTAATTTCAGTCTAGTCCAGGTTTATATCCAAAAACATTCAAATTTTGCTTCAATTGCTCTCGGTTTGGACACGTAGCAGAATACTGTAAAGGGAAAACGTGCTATCAGAAATGTGGCTGCGAGCATGCTCGAAAAGACTGGGTCTCTCTGGAACTGACTTGCCCGAACTGTTTGAAAATGGAATTTAAAAACGAAGACAGTTGCTGTATATCAGAGAAAATTGACTCTATGCAGAACTAAAATTTACTGTTAAACTAATTCCTTACAAAATTGTCTGCCGGTCATCGACCCGCGAATGAAACTAATAAAAAAAATTGTAATAAAAACATTCAAATAACATAATTTACCAAAATATCCAGTCATTAGACGACGCAACCGATAAAATAAACATAATGATAGAAGAATTGGGCTATATCTTGCGACAGGAAAAACAATATCATGGTGTGGCAGTCTCCGTGAATCGCTTAGTAACGTGTAGAGAGCTAGGACAAAATGAAATATGCTATCAGTAGCTAAAACCTTCGACTGGGCAGCAGTTAAGTGTCTACTAATATTGAAATTCTTAAAAATATTAAAATTGGAACCGAGTTTGGAACTCCGATTCGTTCAAAACGTTAGAATATTAAATTTTCGATCATGCAACTCAGACAATTACTTTCGAAACACAATCAGAACTTCCAGAACACACCAAATATAATCGCGTTTTTCAGCAAGATAGGAATGCTAATTTTTTATAAAACTAAAAAAAACAGATTGGGCACACGTGCATGAATGCAACAAAACTGATGTAAATGGACCCTGGTCAATATTCATGAACACTTACAAACTTCTTTTTAATCAGGACTTCTCTCATAAATTATTAAAAAATAGGTTCGAAAAGACTAAGACAAATCCTGAACTTCAAGAAATTAAAAAAAGACTAGATATTCTCTTAACCCAAGGTAAACACAATGATATTTATAACGATAAATACATACATACAAAAAACAAACAGCAACAACAACAAAACAAGAAGTTATAATCCATTCAAATCAAAAGTTATCAAAATCAAGAATTATAAAATCTGATATTAAAATGAAAGGCAGGTGGGCAATAACCACAGAAATTACAGGAAAATCAAATATAACGATATTCGAATACAGAGGAATTCTGAAAAAATAGCTAGTGAATATAATAAATGTATAAACTTCTTAATTAACAATTCGATGAGTTAAAAATATCACTCATGAAACCATTATTTTTAATAATGGTGACCTCCAATTGTTGAACAGGTATAGGTATATCAAAATAAATAAGAACTAAAAGTTCAGATTTTCACGAAATTATATATTATGACATGACAATTGTTTCGACAACACCGTGTCTTTATCAAATGTAATATTTACAAGCTACCTGCTACTATATATACCAAAAAATGACCATCAAACCCTAATTAAAGTTGTTGCGAGAATTTAAGTTCAATAAAGGAGAGGTATTTAAAGCTAATTGACCGTTAATCTCTATGGCTTCCAATAAATTTAATTTTCTACTTTTTGTGGCTGTGTGTAATATAATTGTCGTTAAGTGTGTAGCATAATTAGAATCTAGACTATTGTTTTTAAACGCTCTTATATGTTCGTTAATGCGTTTCTTGAAGGATCTACCTGTTTGTCCAATATAAATTTTAGGACAAGATCCACATTTCAACCTGTTTTTTAAATATTTTAAAGCTATTTTTAAACCACATTTTGACAAATGTTTTGAAACTTTTTCGCTAGGTTCTCCTATGTATGTAATTGTTTTAAATTGTTCGTGTTCTGTATTTGGTTTCGGATAAATAGAGTTTACTGTTGTCTGTTTTTTATTTATAATTTTATCTATAATGGACGGATTGTAGCCGTTGTTAAGTGCTATTTGTTTAATGATATTAAGTTCTTTGTTGTAATTTTCTGTTGAGAGTGGCGTATTAAGAAGTCTGTGTATAAAAGAGTTAAATGCTGCCATTTTGTGTGTATAAGGGTGATTTGAGCTGTTATGTATGACTGTGTCCCTGTGTGAAGGTTTATGATATATTGAAAAATCTAATTAATAGAGTTATCCAGTTCAATCTCGATAGTGAATTTTATACGATTATGTATTGAGTTAATGTAATTTAAAAAAGAATTCAATTGTCTGTCCGTTCCAACAAAGCAAGCAAAGACATCGTCCACATATCTATACCACCATGAAAAACTTTTACTTAAAGGATGTTCTAGTATGATATTTTCCAAATTATCCATACAAATCTCGGCTAACAAAGGACTAAGTGGGTTTCCCATAATCAAACCTTCTTTAGGGATATAAATCTGTCCATTAAACTCAAAATAATTTTGGTCTAAATATACTATTAAGCAATCTAATAAATCTTGTTTCACCAATGGGTTAATCTGTTTCCGAGTTAGGGTAAAATCTACTAAATCTATCACATCCATAGGTGGAATACTGGGAAATAAGTTTTGTACATCAAAAGACAATAGAGTTGCGTTAGAAGGGATTTTGATATCTTTAATTTTGTTGATTAATTCAAAAGAATTTTTTATTGAAAATTTTGGTTTAAAATCTGTGTGGAACTTTAAAATATTTACAAATTTTGTAGAGAGTTTAACTGCTGGAGCTGTTACATAAGACACCACTGGTCTAATGGGCATATCTTGTTTATGTAATTTAACTAAAGAATATAATTTAGGCGGTTGTGGATTCATAATTGTTAAAAAATATTTGTCTTTGTCACTAAATAGTGTGGAGTTAGTAATTACATCCTTGACTTGTCTTTGATATAACTCATTAGGATCATCTTTGATACAAAGGAAAAGTTCTGGTTTAAGAAAATTGTTGGTTTTTGAAATATATTCTTATGTTATTTTCAGAAGCTTTGTTTTTTGATAGTTTTAACTAGTGACATTTGAGAAATTTCTTTGTGTTTGTTATTATCTATTAATTGAGAGTTTATTATATTCGCTGATACATGTTTGTTTAAATTAGAATTGTTAATGTCCTTAATTGCTAATTCACAATCGATTCCTAAACAGTGTAATTCTCTATTAATGTGCGAGTGTTGTAAGTTAAAGTTGAAACCTTTTTCCCGAAATTCAACTTCATTTTTAGAAAATGTTGTGACGGTGTTGACGAAACAATTGTTATGTCATAATATATAATTTCGTGGAAATCTGAACTTTTAGTTCTTATTTATTTTGCCTGGATTCTCTAAACTCTTTGATTGGAATTGGAATATTGCTGTCTGAGTAGACCTTCTGTTCAAAAAACCATCTTGATTGTTGTGCAGCAATTTGAAATTTGACAGGAAGTTAATTTCTGTGCGACAAATTTAGAAGTTCTTCAACGCTATAAACTGTACCATCTAATAGTATCCCTTTTATTGAAACTAACTAACAAATTCACTCCGTTGAACGTTTTTAATCAGATAAATAAATGATTGAAGAGCAATTTAAAACTCTTAAAGCTGAGCAATGTTGTGTCGTATTTATACGGGAAAAAATAAAACCATCAAAAAACCATCTTGATTGTTGTGCAGCAATTTGAAATTTGACAGGAAGTTAATTTCTGTGCGACAAATTTAGAAGTTCTTCAACGCTATAAACTGTACCATCTAATAGTATCCCTTTTATTGAAACTAACTAACAAATTCACTCCGTTGAACGTTTTTAATCAGATAAATAAATGATTGAAGAGCAATTTAAAACTCTTAAAGCTGAGCAATGTTGTGTCGTATTTATACGGGAAAAAATAAAAACATCGGGAACGCAAACGAAAGTTCATTATGGATATCAAAATGTTTATTCGGAATCAAATTTCAAACAAATATACAATATGGACAGTATTCAAATTACGAAAATTATTATAACAGTATAACACAACATGCGAAATTGTTTGCAAAAGTCTTAAACCTTAAGTCAGAAAATTGAGCCAGAACACTGTCAGAACTATTTGGACAATATTTTGCGAAACGGCGTCTTCTAAGCGAAAGCTTTATATTATGTGTTATGTACAAGTAAACATTATCGATTTTTAGCGGAATTTTCTTGATTTCGTATTCTATTCGGGCAAGTTCGACATTTTATCCGTGGGTTCGGTGTACGACGGCGTTGAATCCCGTGTGGGGTTCTGAAGCGTAGTCTACTGTTCTGCGGCTGCCATCAGGTTCAGTCAGGCTGGAATGGAAATTACAATAATTATCAACCTCCTTGAGTAAAATATTTAGAGAAAGTGGCAATTTTTGTTGAACTTTTCCGATAACGTGGAAAATTTATCAACTTAATCTGAAATGAAAGGAAAATCAGAAATAACATCAAATTCTTTATCATCTACAAATAACTTCATTAAAAAGAAATTTGTCTACAATTGGGTACTGAAATTTTGGAAATAATATGATCAGACTTTTAGTCAATTCATACTAATACAAGTAAATTAGTTTATTAAAACGATCACCAGAAAAAAAATATGACGGTATGACATATTATTACATATTATTATTTTTTATAGAAGGAAAAGGAATCTATCCCGACAGTGGTGTAGGGACAAATCAGGACAATGATAGGCGAAAGAGTTTTCCAAAAACTCTTTTACGAATTCCCAGTAGCAGCCATGAAAATAGATCATAAGGATAATAGTACGTCTACTAATGAGTCTCTGTCGACTAAAGAGACGTACAAGCCTAATGGGAGTGAAAGGAAACGACCAGGCATATGTTACGCCAGCATGAAGGCTTATCAACATAACTACTCCACTATCCAAAATTTAGGAAACCACCACAATAGAAAACATCCAATGTCTTCCCTGGCGTCATTCTTCCATTTTTTGGCACTATGGCATGTTTAGCTGATGTTGTGAGAAGAAAAGAGGACGGTGGGATTCTATTCTTTGTTTGGATGTCTATTTTATGGACTTAACTCATCAGTGACTCTGATCAACCCCAAAGCCGAGAAACACAGAGGAAGCTTGGGATTTAAATTTAAAAATTTGTCATTCTTGATAATTGATTAGCGCTGTTGATTATCAGTAGTTCCGCTACTGTATTTCCGATCTTCTGGATGTCAGAAAATCTTACAGCCTAATAGATGAGTAATCCAAGATTCATCTGATAACGGTTTTATAAATTAGAATGACTGATTCACGTTTCCTAAAGCCTTTAGTGTAACATAATACGAAACTGTACAATGTTTTCTACATGTGTTTTTTAATTTTAAGTTAATCTTTTTTTCATGAAAACTGCATTTCTTTGCATTTAATGTGATTTAAAAAAAAATTGTGATTTTCATAGTACACAATAAACCTACCGAAATTAATCTGGAGTTCCAAAATATCCTATTGAGAATTTATTTCTTTTTTTACTTTTAAGTCAATGTTGTCATATTAAAAATAACAAAATTAAAAAGTAAAGGTCCCAAGGGTGACTCATGAAGGAATCCCTCGACATGGAATTGTACCCTGCTGCGTAACATCAAACTCAAGCAATGTATTAATATGGTTAAAAACAAAATTATGAATTGGTTTAAGCCATATTTAGCAACTAAGTGTACCCGAAAATTTGAGAAATAGATTTTTGCTTGAGTACAGATTATCTCCTATGATAATTATTGTCTATCTTGTTCTCATATTTCTTTGGTGTCCCATTTTCAATTCGTGATTGCGGATTTTTTAAAATTCTCATGTTTAACTTTACACTAAATTTCCTGCATATCATTTTAACGGTAGAGTGGCTAGTCGTAGTAGGCTAAAACTCATTTCCAGCTAGAAAATTAGAATGCATTTTCCATTTAACGTCGCTGAGAAAGATTCCGGGATACGGCTAGTCCAGAGTCCGGCGTTTTTGGGTTGCCAACGTAATCCCCTCGCCTGCCAGTCAAGGACTGTCAGACTGAAAATTAATACGTCAGAATTATTAATAGCGAAAACGTAACGACTCTCATTTAATGTAAATTGCAAGACTGGCATGCAGCAACGACGACTGTTTTAACGTCATGTCGTTTTCTGTGTGCGTCGAGTGCTAACCTTAATTGGAATAATACAAATGTAGCAAACTGGTAAATACCTTCCAAAACCGTTTAAATAATTTAATGCCGCATCAAAAAACATTTACATCTTCATGGTTATACCCCACACCTGACACCACCTGAAATTTTCTATAAACAAAGGATATATAGCTTTAAACACAGAAAAAGGATATTTTTATTTTTTTTAAACATTCCTTAGACAACCGAGGCAACTATGATGCATGGTCCATCTCCCTTTCAAAAGGATCTCCCTTTTCTATTTCCATCATGAAAATCTTTACCTAGATTTTTTTTTGTCGAATTCGTTTTTGGTCAATAATAGGCAAACTTATCAAATGTTTTGTAAAATACACTCAGCAACTGATTATTGAGAAGATTAAACTCTGAAACTCCAAAAATTGGGAGCCCCACAAAGATAGTTTTCTGATTTTTTATATTTCTTGAACATATTTTTGGTTATACCTAAGATTGCTCTGCTAGTTCATTTGTCTTGGGATAGTTACCCTTTGTAATGGACTGCATGTCTTCAAAGCCTTAGGAAGAAATGCCATTTGTCGAATTAAAGCTTAACATGGTTGAAAATATAGGCATATAATAATGAAGACTGCGCTTCTCATATTGTAGTAATAGTTCATTAACAAATATTTTTACGATACTTAACGCAAGTTATACACGTCGAAACAAAATCATGAACACTTTTGACAGTTTTGACTAATAAAACAACTTTAAACAAGTGTAATATAAAATTTCTCAAAAAGTAGTGATTCCTGTGCCAGTTCCTTGGCAGTAAGATTAAGCAAAAGATTCCATCCGGAAAGAACGTAAGAAGATAAAAAAAAGTGAAATTAGGAGAAGCTAAACTAAGCTAAACTAAGCTAAAACAAGAACAGGAGTCGCCTACAAGGTTCTACAACCCCACACCTGACTCCATCCTACATTTTGGATCTCAAAATGAAAATATCAAGCTCACACTCAAGAAATGTTAGATACATCAATGTTTACAATCTTTAGGGCTAATATATTATCTGATAGGTACATGCACCAACTCATGAAGTTCAATCTTATAGTTGCAAAGATTTTATCTAGAGAATGTCCAATATTCTCTCTACCTAACCATGTCGAGTTCTTTGCACCTTTTTAAAAGAATTTTTTGCATTTTCATCAGGAAAATCTATGGTTCTAGTTCTTTTTGACTGAGTTTTTGCTTGGCGAATATAAGATAACAGGTAAATTTGTCAACAGCCTTTCAGAAACATGTAATGTGGATCTTAGCGACCGCTTATTGAGAAGTTTAGATGTTCAAATTCCAAGACCTTTAAACGGTGAAGTTCTATACTGCAACCATGCATCATTTTCTGATTCTTTATATTGCTTTAAAATGTATTTACTTAGCTCAGTAAATGCTGAGGGAAAACGAGTCTATAGAGATCGCCGTTTTGAAAAAAAAATATTTCTCATCAATTTTTATTACACTTAGGGCTACTATATTACCTAAAAGCTACCATGCCCTGACTCTTCAAGTTGCAAATATTTCATCTGCAGAATTACTAATATATTTCTATTCTCCGTATCTAACCACATTGAGCACTCGCAGTGATCGAAAGCCCAACTACCACGTAAACGTTTCTCTAATACAAATTTAACAAGTTAACACTACCGAACTTTAACAAACGCCCCGGAAAACGGTCGTAGAAAGCAAAAAGCTTAATTATAAAACGTTCAATTTTGGTCACGTCGTCTCGTGTAAATTTCCCACGTAAAACCTGTCAAAATAGAACCCGTGGAGGGAACCAGACTTTAACGGCTTCACGACGAGCCATATTCGAAATTTGCATGCAGAAATATGGCGTAATTGAACGCGGTTAATTACACGAACAGTAATTTTAATCTGTGCCGGGTTAATGAAAATCGCTACGCTAATTGGTTACGTCTAAATAGGTACCTGGGATATTGAAATTTGGTTTGCGCGATATCTGAGAGTATGTCGAGGGACAGAACTTTAAGAATAAAATGATGACTTATTCAGTGAATGATAAAAGTTTGCCTTAAGAAAATGAGTATGCATTTGCGAAAAATAAAGATCACTGAGAAAGAACCTGAGGTGTGCATGTTTTGTTGCTTGTTATTTTATGATAATGAGGATGCTAATCGGATAGTATTATGAAAACACGCTAAAAATCCCAAAATCTTCATTCTACAAAAGCTTAATTAAGGTTTTGTAAAGTATAGTAAGACATGGAAGAGTTATAATGTCTTTGGTACCTATACCTTAAAAGTTCTATGCTTTTGCACTACTCTCTTGTAGGAAAGGATGAAACAAGTTGTATCACAAAACCCTACAAACCTTGTACAAGATCCGTTCTAGCAATCTATCAATGTACTGTAACGTATGAACACTTTTTGTGCTAAGACTAAGACAAATGGTTTGCTATATGAATTTTGCTTGCTTTTGCTTCCTTATACTTTTTTTTTAAATCGTTTATACTTAAATAAGAACCGTCAATTAAAAAGTTCAAGGGAGGACGGGAGTGCTTTAAAAGAAAAAAAAACGATTTCTAAAATGGACTAAGGCTGGAAAGGATCTCTGGATCTTTTTATATCAGTGAAAGTCTGAGTAGACGCCTTTAGAAAAAAGCAAACAATTTTGCAAAAGGAAGTTACAACTTAAAAAATAAAATATTTATTATAGAAAATGAACGAAGACATATTATTGTTGGAAATTTAAATATAAACTTATTAGGTAGTCAAAAACTTGTAGAGGAATGAATATAAAATTTTTCTTACATTAATAAAGTAAATTGTCCAAGAGCTGGTATTTGTTTGGATCATTTTTTTGATAAAAAGCGATGTGAATGATTTAAGTATATCATGTTAGAGTTCACTATTCTGTTACTGTTATTAAGCCTTAAGGATCAAAAATTGATCAATATAATGATGCACAAATGGAAACAAATATATTAACTATACGACCCTAAAATTTTGATTTGCGAGAAATAAATTGGGGAGATATAATTAAGTTAAATAATGCAAATAGTAATATTATCATTTCGGGTTAAATTACCCAAATTTGGCAGGTGATTGTTATATTTGGTTTTATCAAAGTTTAGAGCCAGTTTGTTGTGTTGGTACCAGTTTTTCAGAATTGCGATATCTTTTTC